TTTGTAAAACGGATATTCTATACTCACTTCAGCTTCTCCAGTTTACAGCTGGGATCCTCCAGTACAGCAGAGAGCAGCTTCACTCCTGAGTCTCCTGGGTGATTGTAGCTCAGATCCAGCTCTCTCAGGTGTGAGGGGTTTGACCTCAGAGCTGAAGCCAGGGAAGAACAGCCTTCTTCTGTGACTCTACAGCCTGACAGCCTGCAGAGAGACAGAAAAAAACTCCCCACTAAATGAGATCATCTCACCATTACAAATATTACTTTTAAGTAAATGTGACTCCTCTAATCAATATTTCAATATTCACACAAAATTAACATCACCTTCCAAACATTTTACAAGAACCTATACTCCTCAGAACAAGAACCAGATGCAGTTGATATAGAATCATTTTTAAATAATCTAGACTTACCCATATTAACCAATGAAATAGCAGATACCCTTGATGCAACATTAACATCAGAAGGACTCCATAAGGTCCTCAACCAAATGCCTAACAACAAATCACCCGGACCGGATGGTTACCCTGCAGAAATCTATAAACATTTTTGGGACGTATTATCCCCACTCTTCAATAGACTGGTAAGAGAAATTAAACATACATCACAAATTCCATCACAGTGTTATTGAAACCTGATAAAGACCCAACACAACCCTCCAGTTACTGGCCACTCTCACTGATGAATACAGACTTGAAAATCATCACAAAAGCTCTCGCCACTCGGTTAGAGACAGTCATTCCTACTATAATCCATCCTGATCAGACAGACTTCATCAAGACAAGACATGCCTCGGACAACATCCATAGATTAATTTAATTCAGTCAATATTGCTCAGCATATCCATACTAAAACCATAATTACATCATTAGATGCAGAAAAGACATCTGACAACAGTTGGACATTTCTCTTTAACACATTACATAGATTTGGCTTCGGAGAGTCGTTCACCCACTGGGTTAAAATACTGTACACCTCACCCAAAGGTACAGTGATCACAGATGGGATCACATCACCTGCATTCACACTCCAATGGGGAGGACGGCCTGCCTGCCCACTCTCTCCTTAATTGTTTGCCATCTTCATAGAACCACTTGCGGCAGCAGTATGTCATCAGTACGAATTCATACCAATAACTCAACACAAAATTAGTCTCTATGCAGATATCTTGCTGTTTTTACGAAACCCTCAACCCTCAATATATGAAATTAAAATTTTATTAATACCTTTTCAAAACTATCAAACTACACAATAAACTGGAAAAAACTCACAATATTCTCACTGTCTAAAGATACCTGGGATTCAGCTGATCAGGATGGTCCATTTCACACTGGAAATATCCGGTACTTGGGTATCAACATCTCCCCCAAGCTGTCAGACTTGTTTACCCTCAATGACACCCCCATACTCAAAACAAAAGATGAACCTCCCACTCTCACTAATAGGACCTATTTCATCAATAAAAATAAAAATTCTCCTCCAGAATAAAAAAAAAAATCCATCCATTTACTTCCGCTTATCC